CTATCTGGGGTTATTGTCTCATTGGGGGCATATAAGCATTTATTATCAATAGGATAGGTAAAGGTAAAGGTTCCCCTTGCACATATGTGGTAGTTGTTCCCGACTCTAGGGGGCTGGGGCTCATCTTTGTTTCAAAGCCGAAGAGCCAGCTCTGTCCAAAGACGTCTCTGTGGTCATGTGCCTGGCATGACTAAACGCCAAAGGCACATGGAACGCTGTTACTTTCCCACCAAAGGTGGTCCCTATTTTTCTACTTGCATTTTTATGTGCTTTTAAACTGCTAGGTTGGCAGAAGCTGGGACAAGTCATGGGAGCTCACTCTGTTACGCGGCGCTAGAGATTTGAACTGCCAGTCTTTCTGATCAACAAGCTCAGCGTCTTAGCCCCTGAGCCACCATGTCATTAATACAAATCCCTTAAATTGTGCCCAATAACTATTGGCAAATCTTTTCAGTACAGCCATCAAATCACTCTTGAATTTGTACCAGGTAGCACCTTATCTGTGCATTTGTTGGAATTCCTGAATACTTTGTCTTGTAGAAAACATGTTGTCAAAGGTTTCTTTTAATATGGACTAGTATTCCTTCATGTCTTGGGTTTTGACAGATTCCACATGCTCTGGTATCTGAAAAATACTGGGTTACTTTTCCTGTCCTCATTATAGGGGAAGCTGTCTCTCTGGTGGTAATGCAGTCTTTCCTTGAAGTTGCTGCTCAGTTGAAAGGTATGGCTCAGTCAGTATGGTTGCTGTGGGCTGTCTATTTCTTTACATTTCATTTAATCCAAGCTCTTTTGTTTCAAATGACTGATTCAACATAAAGTTACTCTTGGTAAGTGGCAAAGCTGATGATGCCTAGTGGCAGAAAGGGAAAAGCAGATAGAGCTATAGAATCCCAAAGAAATATTTGTCCAACTTTTGCTTGAAAGCCTCCCATAAAGAAAAACACGTCACATTTCTGCCTTTCCCAGTTCGATGTCGTTCCAATGCTTTGAGAGAACACCATCATGTCAGGGTTCCAAATAGCATCTAAAAGTAAATCAGAGTCCAAGGCAGAGTATTGCTCAAAGTTCCAATTTATTAAGGGAGCCATGTTGGCACATCTGGGAAAACCCGAATCTGAAAGCTTCCTGGTTTTCCCACCCAGTTGAAACTTCAAGATCCTGCCCCCACACCCACAAGTCCATCGCATGGTCCAATCTTCCACTGCCATGCTGGCAGTTCCACCCATCCAATTCCGGTCAGGTGCAGAGGTGCAGAGACCTTGGTTTTCTAGAAAGAATTTTGTTATGGCTACGTAGCATCTAACTCTGTACAATCCCCCTCCCATTTCCCCACAATAGAAAAGGCATAGTAGAATAATAGAAAGTGTGGCAGGCCAAAGACCCAAAAGGAAAGATGGCTGCAGGCCTGACCCTTCCTAACGTAGAATGTAAAAGTCTGGAAAAAATGGGAAAAAATAATGGAGGTGGCACTTTTTTTAACAAACAGAAATATTATGAAATGTTTCCAGTTGTCTTTTTTCCTATTTTTTTCCTATGTATTTTATACATAACATGTTTAAAAATAGTCTGTTTAGAAATAGGTTGGCTGGGAATTCTGACAGTAACACTCAAAGACATCTTTAGTCTTATCAAAGATGGTTTAGTCTTCAGGAACGACTTCCTTTTGGATTTGTTAAACAATAGTGGGTCATTTTCTGAACCAGTGTATTTATATTATTTACTTCTCAGAATTCCACTGTCTTCTTTTTACATTCCCGGCAGACTTTGACGTCACTAGATGGAATTATAATGCACAGCTGAGAGTATGTCCTACTCTTTGACAATAGGCAGAGAAGCAGCAAGTAATATGGACACCCTGCCAACTCATCCCCTTAAAAAGCTGGACACAATAAACAGATGTGTGATCTGTTGCACTCAGTTGACCAATTTTACTTTTGAATGCAGCTGCAGCAGGAAAGGAGGGTGGTGGGGTAGGTAGGAAGCTTGGTCTCTTTTAAGGTATCCAGGAATCTAAAAGTGAAGAAATAGTAAAGCACCCACTTACTTACAAACACAGAATGACCAACGTTTAGGTGACACTCTTGCTTAGGAAGATAATCTGAACTACAACTTTGTCTACTGGGATGGTTGCTAAGTCTCTGGCAAATGCCAAGGGGCACTTCTACAAATGCATCAAAATCTAATGTACTTTAATTTAAGCCACTTAAGAGATTGATCTGTTTTAAATGTTAAGGCATATGTCTCCCTGTGTGTCTTTATGTTTATTCCAGTATTTTACATTGATTTATAATGACTCCTTTTTCCTGGCATTAAATACTTTTGGCCAGGCTGGAAAAACAGCCATGCTATTGCTGAGTGATTTATAATAATGTAAGTCAACTTTCCAGTAGGCTTGACTATTGATTCGAAGAGTGGCATTTTTAAAAAGGTTGTAGTTTTAAATTTACTCAGTGGCTAGTCCTAGAATCTGTTATTAATTCTTGGGCTAAGCCTTAGAATAAATCAATACTTAAAACAATAAAGAATTGCCTTTGGCAGAATTTACTTCCTAATTCCCTTCTGCAGTTGCAGTTATTTCTTTTCTACCAAAGGCAGGCAGTCTTTGTTTCCCAGCTGCCATTACTTGATTTCAAATGATTGTCCAGCATGCCAAATCAGTCGGTCGGCCGGTCAGTCACTTTTGAAGACACCAAGAAATTTCTGTAATCATTTCCCCAAATCCATGAGGCCTTGTGAAAGAATGGCAGAAAAATACCCCACGATCTCATGCAAGCATAGCAAAATCTCACGATAACATAAAACATAGAATAATAGAGTTGAAAAGGACCTCAGAGGTCTTCTAGTCCAACACCCTGCTTGAGCAGGAGGCCCTATATCTGTGATGGCAAACCTATGACACACGTGTCCAAAGTGGCACATGAAGCCATGTCACCTGGCACGCACGGCCTTGCTTGTTTGCCTTCCAGGTTTCTGGTGCACATGCGCGCATGACAATCAGCTGTCCTTCTCCAGTGCAGCAGTGCCAAAAACTGGTGTGCACATGCACACCAGCCAGCTGATTGTCGGGTGTGCATGCAGGCCAGAACTCAGATGTTCAGAGTAAACTAAAGTATTTTACAATATGTAATAATACGTAACAGTATGTAGAATTTGATATCACTCATGGCAGTGAACCAAAATACTACTGACTCTATGATCTTCCAGGTTGAATTGTAGCACATGTGAAACAGTTATATTAAGAGTAACAGCAGGAAAGAGCCACTGTCTTCATACTTTCTCATGGATGGTCTTTGATCTGACTCAGAAAATTCCTGTGATATTCCAACTAATATGTTTATTTTTGATGTATTAGAAAATCAGCTGAAGAATCAATGGATAAAAACGAGAGCAATTCCTCATAGAATAAAAATAGTTGATGGAGTAGATTCTAAGATTTTTTTTAAAAAAAGTTTCATGAATTTTACACAAAGAGCCAGAAACATTTGTATCACTGCCCTTTTGTTGTTTCTTCCAAACATCTTCTCTAGGGACTCCTGAGATTTCACTTGCAAGGGTAAACTGCTGGGATTGGCCACACCTTTGCTTGCGGGAAAATGTCACCCAATTTCCTATCATGAAGATGTATACAAAAGAGGGGGCATGGCTGGCTTACTCTGGGATGTGGGAGACCAAAGAGATGATGAAGTTCATTGAATTGTAAGTATTATGTTGCTGGTTAAGAGCCACTTTAGGGTAAACATTCTAGATTCTGGTGTCCTCTGGATGTCTTTGGAGTTAAACTCTCATTATCTCAAGATTATATAAGGAAAACCATGGAATAGACCAAACCTGGGAAGAAATTTGTAAGGATGTGGATCTGTGGTGGGTTGCCAATTTTTTCACTACCAGTTTGGGCTCGTTTGCATGCGCAGAAGCATCCGGGCGGGTGGGAGGAGCCTCCCGGCCCCACTACTACTGGTTCAGCCAAACCAGAAGCAACTCACCACTGATGTGGATAACCCTTGAGGGAAGAACTGGCTAGGAAGTAGTTGAGAAATGTGAGATTCAAACTGTTGCATTTTTGGGGGTGGTTGGTTCTTTCTTATATTTGTATCTCACATTTTTTTTCCCAAGACTTCAAGGTGGACCCCTAAATTGTACCCGCATAATAACAATCCTGTGAGGAAGTAGATGTAGCAATAATGTAGGCCCAATGCAGTGGTGGGTTCTGGATCCCGTTCCAACCGGTATGGTTGGAATGGGCCCGGCGGTGTCCACATGGATGTACGCAGCCCGCACATGTGTCTTAGCACCTCTGCAAGCCTCTGTGACGCTCCAGCTGCTCAGTGGAGTGTCGCACAGGCGCTGTATGCGCTGTGCACATGCGCGGAAGCCCCAAAGACTTAAAAGACCGGTAAGGAGCTTAGGTGGGCGGATGGGCCCTCTGGAGCACTGTACTGGAATGGTATCCAGTGCTCCGGGCAGGCTCCGGTACGCCCATACCAGGGCATACCGCCTGCAACCCACCTCTGACCCAATGCCACCGAGAGAGTTTTATGTTTAAATGGAAAGTCAAACCTGAATTTCCTTGACCCAAACTTCACACCTTAAATACTGTGTTATGTGGGCTTTCAGTAAGAAGAATTTAGAAAGCCTGAATCTGAGGTAGCTTTGCCTCTGCATTTCACAGCTGAAGCAAACATATACAGTTTACAGGTGCCATTCAGATTAGATGAAAGAACAAGATGTGCATCATACATTTCTCTATGACACTGAAATTGTTTTGGAAAAATGCTGATGACGTGGGAGATGCTGGAAATGGAGTTGTCCTAGGAAATAGAATTCTGCGAAAGCAAAATAAAATAAAACTGTCCCTTGTAAATCGGCCTGAAGTCTGGTTTCAATTTACATCTTTAGAAGCAGAAATTCTTGCCCAGTGAGATTGATGACCCCTGAAGAAATAGAAGAATATTTAACTGACAAAACCTCACCACACCACACGGTTTCTGTACTGGGAATATTTGACTCAAGCATGAGTGAAGGTAAATCCATTGCCTGGTTATTTCAAACATCATTGCAAAACACAATGTTACTGAAAGTAATAATACTTTTTAATTGCCTTGTGATTGTAGAATAAAATTTATGTTGGGATCTTTCACAACAACCCACTAGACAGGGCACTGGCTGTATTACACAAGATTATTGCTTCACTTTGGGAGCCAAATTCAGGGGGGAGGATGATTTTTTCCCCTCCCTTATAATACTAGAATTTGGATTGCCCAGGGAGATAAGAGGGCAGAGAATCAAGAATGGATTTATTTAAAAAGTATGTAAACACTCTTCAGAGAATTTTATTTGTTAGAAACAAGCACTACATTTCTCCTTTTATCTCTCATCTCTCTCACACATAGACAAACACAAAATGCAGATGTTATTTGGGATATATTGGAAAAAACCTGGGGGGCAGGTACCAGATGTTCTTCGTCCTGGAAAACCTGAAATTGCTCATGTTCCACTTTTTATTTTATTGGGTTGTTTTCCTGTTACTTCTCAGTATACAGGTCGACAATAGGTAGTCCTTGGGTTGTGACAAGTGGGACATAAAATTCTTTCATTAAGCAATGCAGTTGGAAAGTGATGTCATGTGACTAAGCTGCTTAGCAACAGAAACTTTGGCAATCCCAATTGTAGCTGTTAAATGAAACCATTCTTATATGAAAGTGAGGATTTCATGTGATTGCAACCTCTGACTTCCTACTGACTTTCCCATTGATTTTGCTTAGGGAAAGCCAGCAGGGAATGTCAGAATTCAGGATCCTATGACTCTGGGGATTTCACAATACCTGGGATTCTGAGGTTCTGTCCCCTCATTATAGCTTTGAATAGTTTGTTGTAAACTGAGGACAACCTCTAAGACATTCCTTCAATTTCTCCAACCTGATTCCATTAGAAGCATTGAAATGGCCGCTCCCAAAATTTGGAAGATTTGCCTACTATTCAAGAATGGACATTGAAAGTAACAAACCTAGCCGAGATGGCCAAAATATCTGCATATCTTAAGGATCATTCAAACGAGAGATATAGACTGGAGTGGAAAAGATGGATTGACTATACTCAAAATAAATATGGGATTAAGAAATTCCAGATAGTTTATGATTAGAGATCAGGAATTATAAATTATCTAGAGTTAGTCCAGCAAGGAGGAGCTAGAGTTCAATGGAAATACGTTGTTAACTATTTTTTTTAAACTGTACCTTAGATTCTCTTTGTTAAAGATTTATACCCTGTATTGGTTCTTGGAAGTCGGGGGGAGAGGGAAGTTTGGGAGGGTGGGGGTGGGTGGGAACTAAACACTTGTAAAAATTTGTGGTTTTTTTTTTTCAAAAATGTTCAATTAAAAAAAAATTGGAAGTAGTTGGGTCCAGAAAATGGTTAATTTAGATTGAATTTAATTAAACTAAGATAAACTTAAATTTTTACTCCCAAAGTTTTTAATACTTTTCCCCTTCTGTCACATTAAAATTAATTTAGCAGTAACTTTGGAAGGTTCCTTTCCACCACATCCCAAGAACTACATTATATGTATTTAATATTCCTGCTTTTTCAAGTTTCATGTTTGCTTAGGCCAATAGGGGGCAGCAGCATATCTGTACTTGGCTCCAGATTCTGTTGCCTGTTGAATTGATGGCTGGGTGAAACCCTGACTTTTATATGGAGATAAACAAATCAGCTTCTGCAGGAAATTGAGTTGAGATTGTCAGATAATTGCCAACAATTTGTTTTCATCGCTTTTGATAATGAACTTCAAAATTTTACTATACTTTTTATATGTTATTAAGTGGGGCGCAAAGAAAGAAGAGAGAAAACTGATATATAACTATTTCAGTTGTTCAAGACTCAGAGATTGGTAAACAGAAAGATCTAGAGTGTGTCAAAAAGCCCAAAAGCCAAATGTTAAACTGATGGATTTAATACAAAGGGCTATTTTCTGAGCATAAGGCACTGTTATTACATGTCAAGCCAGTCCCTTCATTTAGCACAGGAAAATCTATCATGACTAGCATTTTTACTGTCCACAATCTGGCAGATGGACCTTTATTATCAACTGTTTGCTTGATCCATTTTATTGACGAAATCTGCCTCGTGCTCCAAACTGCTCTTTGCAATCAGACTCTCATTCAGACAGTTGATAAGGGCTCACAAGGTCAGAAAGACCTGCCTTGCCAGCATCCCATCTCCTGTCAAAGTGACTCCGGAGGCAGCTGAGGGGGAGTAGCGTCTCCTTTGCTTCCTATTGTCTGTCCTCCATCTTAGGTGACCTCAATGTGGGCCTGAGGTAAATGATTGTCCAAGCAAAATGGTGCTTTTCCAATAGAAGCATGAGTGTTCCACAGCTACTGCCTACCCTTCAATCTTTCTTACATTTCTGAGGAGCATTTTGGAGCAATTGTTCTATAAGGTTTTGTTCACCTTTTAAGAAGAATGAATATATACCGAATAATTAGGATAGGATAGGATAATTTGGGAAATTATATTCAACCATTTGTCTGAAATGATTTAGGGCAGGGGTGTCAAACTCATGTTGTCACATGACTTATTGCGACTCCCCCCTTTGCTAAACTGGGCATGGGCGTGGCCAACGCATGACGCATCTGGTTTGCAGGCCGCAAATTTGACAGCCCTGGTTTAGGGTCTCCTGCTTGAGCAGGCGGTTGGACTAAACACCTCCAAAGTCCCTTCCTACTCTATTCTAATCCTTTTCTTTTATAGGAAAAGCCAAGAGCAACTGAATTTACTCATTGGTGTTTTCCAGAGATTTTGTAGCCCTGTATATTTTCCATTGTAAAGAGTAAGAAGCTGTTAAAATCCAAATATCCAATCATAATATGAAAATCAGATTCTCTAGAACAGTGATGGGCAACCTTTTTGGCGTGGTGTGTCAAAAATCGGCAAAAAATCGAGCATAACTCGCGTTG